AAATGTGTCACAGAAACTGCGTTTCTAGTAAGGAACTCTGTGAAAAGTTGTGGAAAGTTAAATACTGATGGCAAGATGACCTAGGAGGAGTACAGAGTTGTAGCAGATAACACCGACGACTTGAGACTTAGCTCCACAGATATAGAGGTAAATCCACACATGCATTAGTTACTGTATCAGGGTGGTACCGAAAGAAATTGAACTTTTAAAACTGGATCCTAAACTAGGAAAGTTTGGATGCCTATCAGTTGTAAATCAGGAGAAATTTAGAAACCTTCTTCAGAAAAAAAATCAAAGTTATAATTATGATGATCAGTAAATAATGGATTATCAATAATATAAGGGTCTATATATTCCATTTAAAAATATCCCACTCCAGCTGGAAGACATTTTTTTTATCATCTGGTCCCGGGCGTCCGGACCAAAAGTGTATGTTAACAAATTATTACATGCATGTATGATGACAAGCTGACAAGTCGTTATGACGTGCTGTCAAGGTGTGCGGGCGTGTTTTCACCTCGCTCCGCTGAAATGTGTACTTAGGCTGTATTCAGGAGGTAAATGGACCAGAGAACATGAATGATTCCAGTTCGGGGACCACCTAGCTGCTATGTGTTCTCTATATACATAAATGCCTCCAAAAAAAGAAGCAGAGACAGAAAAGTGGTAAACAAGATGAGAGCCGTACAGGACAGACGCCGCCATGTCATCCAGCTCACAACCACCGACCTCGTCAGGCTATATGTACAGGATGTGTCAGTAAGTCAAACACAACAGACTCAGTCTGCTCCTCACTATATTAATATGCAACATAACTCTCAACAAATGCACCCTTCGAATATGCAGACTCCTATGTACTCTATGCAGCAAGCAGGTATGCAGTATACAGGTCACCCTAGTGAGGCTCAGTACGGGGGTTCTCAAATGGACATAAGTCAAAAACTGGATATGATCTGGAGGAAGCTGGACAAATTAGACAGCATAGATTCGAGGTTGTGTAGTGTAGAATCGTCGGTAAAAACTGTAATTAGAGAATTTGCTAACCTCAAAGGAAAAATTAATGAAATGGAGTACAGTTTATCTTTCTTCAATGAAACTATGAACAGTTGAAAACCGACTCAAAAGTGATAGAAAAAAAAGTGAAATTCTAGAAAGCAAAACGGACAAAACCAAGACAAAAACGGATAGTTTACAAAAAGAACTAGATGAACTTTATATCAACTATGATGATCTGAAGGAGAGACATCTCGACCTACAGGCTATATCCATGAAGGAGAACCTTATATTGAGGAACAACAAAATGAGGATAATACAGAAGAAGTTCTAGTGAATTTTCTCAACGATGTAATGGATATCGGGGACCTGATCAGTTTTGAAAATGTGCATAGAATGGGGAAAAAGGGCCAAATAGTGTGTAGATCAATCATCGCAAAATTTTCCAGATATAAAGATAAAGAATTGGTGAGGAAAGCGGCACCTGTAAAGTTGAAAGAACAAGAGGCCCAGAGGGCCTGTATCGCTCACCTGAATATAATTCAAGTAATTGGTATGAAGTAAAGATATAGCACTCCATGGTAGGTGCTGTTAGTACATATGAAATTTCAGAAAGATCCATCCAGTAGTTGAGATATAGAGAACAAACTTCAAACTGAGCCCCACCCCTATGCCCCTATGGGGGTCATACCCACCAATTATCCAAAATTGAGTCACCATCACCCAGGGATGCTCCACACTAAATAAGGATAAAATCCCTTAATCCCGATGGTCGGAGAAGGATTTTAAAGGTTTTACCTCTATTTTCCCTATTGGGCCCCATCTCTCTGCCTACAGTGGGGTCAGACACACCGTTTATACAAAATTGGTTCCCCTTCACCCAAGAATGCTTCAGACCAAATATGGAACAAATCCTTTCATTCCTACAGAAGAAGAAGGATTTTAAAGAATTTGCTATATTTCCCCTATTGGGCCCCGCCCCTAAGCCCCCAGGGGGGCCAGACCCACCATTTATAAAAACTTTGTTCCCCATTACCCAATGATGCTCCACAGCAAATATGGACCAAATCCTTCCATTTCTACAGAAGAAGAAGGACTTTAAAGAATAATTTGTTATATTTCCCCTATTGGGCCCCGCCCCTCAGGCATCTTGGGGGCCAGATTCACGGTTTATACAAAATTAGTTCCCTTTCACCCAAGGATGCTTCAGACCAAATATGGAACAAATCCTTCCATTCCTACAGAAGAAGAAGGATTTTAAAGAATTTGCTATATTTCCCCTATTGGGCCCTGCCCCTCAGCCCCCAGGGGGGCCAGACCCACCATTTATACAAACTTTGTTCCCCTTCCCCCAAGGATGCTCCTGACCAACTATGGACCAAATCCTTTCATTCCTACAGAAGAAGAAGGATTTTAAAGAATAATTTGCTATATTTCCCCTATTTGGCCCCGCCCCTCAGGCCCCTGGGGGGCCAAACCCACCATTTATACAAAATTGGTTCTTCATCACCCAAGGATGCTCCACACCAAATTTGGTTAAATTCCGCTTAGTGGTTCATGACTAGTAGTGTAAAGTTGACGGACGACGGACGACGGACGACGGACAACGGACGCTTCGGTATGGCATAAGCTCACCTTGGTCCTTTGGACCAGGTGAGCTAAAAAACCTACGGTGTAAATGAACAATTTCCTAAGGAAATAAATGAAAGACGAAAAGAACTGTACCCACATTACAAACAAGCAAAACGTAGCAGAAAAAAGGCTTCACTGGCTTATGAGAAACTATATATTGAAGGAAGGCAATTTATTCCGAAACCGAAAAATCAACGCGAACATACGGATACGAATCATACGACAAGTCTTGCACGCGATATCAGAAATCCACCCCGTGGGAGCCCCATAAATACTGAGGGACGGCCGGGTGCGAGTCAACAGGCGGCACGTAAATAGGACAACCACGGAGAACTCAATTTGACTGCGAGCACTAGCGGCCACGGTCCACTAGCAATATTGATGTAGACTCTCTCGCAAGTAATAGAGAGAGTCTGTTCTCCTGGTTAAAACAGCACGTACTCTATCTTGAATGTACCCATTGTATATTTTCTTAATATCACATGTAAATTGTGGTTTGAAAGAATAAAATCTTGTCTTGTCTTGTCTTGTCTTGACAGCTGTATTGTAAATCTTACACCTGGTATAAGACTTGCCTTTCCATGCGTGCATGATATTTTTAATTTGAATAGAACAGCCCTATATTAAAGAGAACTTTAAATGACACAGATTGAAGTCCATCTTTACACAATACAAATGAATACCAAATGCAGCAGTTTGTGGGAGAAATGATTTATACTGTTTGTGACAGAATAAGTTAAGTTGGTGTGAATTTTCCTTTATTATTAGCTCACCTGGCACAAAGGTCCAAGTGAGCTATTGAATTGTCATGGCCCAATGTCCGTCGTCCGTCCGTTAACTTTTCTATTTAAAAAACTTCTTCTGAAGAACCACTGCAGCTCACTTGGCCCTTCGAATCGGGCCAGGTGAGCTAAAAACTGCTGGTGTGAAACAAATGATGCTTTTCTAGACAAAAAAACTGGGAAAAGTGGAAGTAAAGAAAAACAAGAGGCCCAGAGGGCCTGTATTGCTCACCTGTTTCTTTTGTTACGTGAAACTGATATATAGGTAACTTCAGACCAAATTTGGTAACTAGAACACAAGACATGTTAACATCTCTTAAACGCTGAAGATATCGTTGTTTGAAATTTGAAATTATAATTTTAAAGCTTTTAACCCACGTTGACCTTTGACTCCGGCTAGCACTAAAAGTTGACATTTAACCTCATTACTATAATAAAGAAAAAGATTTGTACTGCTGGTCTACATAACATACCCAAGTTAGTACATATATAAAGTAGACTAGTTAAGTTTCAAAGTTCTTTCAATTTTATTCAGTATATCAAGTAATTGCTATATATGCATACATAGCACTTCAAGTGTTAAAGTAGCTAATACGACTAGCTTATAGATTTATTCCCTTCTTTTGATTTACTTTACTGATCTAATGAATCTCATGTCACATGGTTTTTAACAACCATGCACACTTGTCTATGATGGTCTTCTGCCATTCTGCACAATGTAAATCCTGTATATTTAAATGCTGTGTGTTTAACATCTATCACATAAACTTGGAACCCATTTTGGCAAACAAATCTAGCCAACGAGGAGATCAAGATATGCCATCATGTACAGAGAAGGACCTAGCCAACGAGGAGATCAAGATATGCCATCATGTACAGAGAAGGACCTAGCCAACCAGGAGATCAAGATATGCCATCATGTACTGAGAAGGACCTAGCCAACAAGGAGATCAAGATATGCCATCATGTCACAATCAGCAACAAACAAAGGAGGAATAAACAGTAAGGGAAACACTATGTTTTTGAAACTGATCAAGATACCACTTTATGTGGGGAGCTGGCGAGTCCCAAGGTCAAAGGCTAAGGACCAATAAGGACATCTTTAGACCTGTTCTGGACCAAAGGAAGTCTGCGGCCATCAAAGGTATAAAACCTTATAGACTGTATAAGACAAATTGGTTTGAGCTACTGATACATATCAGGTACAGTTCTTAATATATTAAATACAACACATACATTAAACTAAAATTGTAGTTCACGATTTCCCTTAACTCTTTCCGTACCGTTGTCGTGTACACACAACAAAAAAACATGCTTCCTGGTCCCCGTTGTCGTGTTCACACGACAAAAAAATATGCCGTCTCATCCCCGTTGTCGTGTACACACGACAAGAGACTTTGATGTTACCTGTTTACTGATTAGATGGTTTCAGCAGACGACAGACTTGTGATCCAATTATTTTCGGTAAAATTCGGGCGAATCAGTATGTAAGAAAGATTTTGATAGGTGCAAAGTACACATGTTTCATCATGTGACCCTCTGTTTCGTATTTCCCGCCAGTTGTTTCGTTTGGTGGTCACCAGTGTAAACAATATGGCGGCGAGCGCGTTTGACACGAACGTTGACACTGCATCAGATGATGAAGGAGGCGCTGGAATCCAAGATGACGATAACAATTTCGGTGGATCCGACCTTGAATTGTCTGAGCTGGACTCAGATAGTGAAGATGACATCCTACTTGCCGACATCATCCCGCTGGCAGACCTCGTAGACCGAGGTGGTGGAGATGCTGGACACGCCCCCACCGATCGCCGCTGGACAGCTGATCTAAATCATATACGTGTTAGAGATTTTACGGGAGTGGCAGGGCCTACTACAGCACTGGATGCAGAGAAGACAGAGAAAGATTTTTTCCATCTAATCTTCCCGGAGTCCGTGTACGACAGGATGGCTGAGCAGACCAACATATATGCTACTCAGCAGATCCGTGTCAAGGCAGACAACTCTTGGCTTGCCACTACGGCCAGAGAGATGAAGACTTTTTTGGGCATCATCGTCTTCATGTCTTTGCTGGACCTACCGAATGCTAAGGTGTACTGGTCATCTGATTGGATGTTCCAGACATCTCTGCCCCCAATTATGACCAGACTAAGGTAAATCACCAGTTGAACTGCTTTTTGATATGATAATGTTGTGATATAACTTACACGGTTTTGATATGATAATGTTGTGATATAACTTACACGGTTTTGATATGATAATGTTGTGATATAACTTACACGGTCACTGATACATGTTAGAATGTAACATGTTTTTTTCCCTTTTCTACTAAATGTCTCCAGTCAAATGGACAATAAGTTGAACAGGCTTTTTTTCAGTTAAATTTTAGGTTCTTAACTCTTAGTCTGAACCAGTTGTATTGACCCCACTGACTATCAACAAATATGTTGACAGGCTTTATATTTTCCCCCTTTTATTATATTTGTACTGTATATTACAGTCATAAAAATCACAAGCCTACTAGTAATGTATGCCCTAAATCCGCTGTAATTAATTGCTGAATATTATATCCCTATATGGTTCAATTCAGGCAAAATGACACTGATGGTTCACATTCTATCTAAGACTAAATTGATTTTTTTCTCATTTTGTAAACTGATTAATTTAACATTTCTACAGTTTGGGTCCATTTGTATTTTTAGATTCGAAAAGCTTGCCCAATACTTTCATTTGAATGACTCGTCGATAAATCCCCCCAAAGGCCAAGCTGGTCATGACAAGCTCCACCATGTCCGACCAGTGCTCAATACCATCCAAGACACCATTGCAGCTCAGTACACCGTACACCAGAATTGTGCTATTGATGAGGCTATGATTGCATACAAGGGGAGGCTTAGCTTCAAACAATATATGCCAGCCAAACCTGTTAAATTTGGAATCAAGGTGTGGGAACGGGCGGATTCAACAAATGGATATGTTGACCAACTCCAGATTTATTCTGGAAGAGCAGGTATGTTGTACAAAAATATTTGAATGTGATGGTATCTTACTGTAGCAGAACTGAAATTGGGTCGATTATCGGCGACCAGGTAACTCAATTGGTAGAGAGTTTGTCAAGAGTTCTGAGGGTCCCGGGTTCGAACCCGGGTCTGGCCATTGCATTTCTCTTTCTCCTGTTACAATAGTATGGTTTGATTTTTTCTGTATTTGATTGTCTCTATATATACAGAATTATAAAAAACCTATAAGATAATTATAATCTGTAATCACAATATGAAGTAATGATCCTGCATCAGTGTCTAATTATATATATATTGTCATTACTACAAATGAAATGTCTGAACATTTTAGCACAACAATATAACCTGTAATATTATATAAGGATTAACCTTTTATTTTGTTTAGTTTACGAGATAATAAATCCAATGGAGCACGAGGTAAATTGCATAATCTTGCCCACACTTAGGTTATCGATTCAGAAACAGTGGCAATTGTAAATATAATGAAATATAAAACAAAATTTTGTATTACCATTTCAGGAAATGAAAATGGCCAGAGGGAAGTGGGACTTGCTGCTCGTGTGGTTACAGACCTGACACGAGACATTGTTGGAAGCAGGCGCCATGTGTATGTCGACAACTTTTTCTCGAGCCCTCAACTATTCGCCAACTTGCTGCAGGATGGAATCTATGCTTGCGGTACTCCTTCTGGCATCAGTAAATACAGCGTGAAGAAAAAGGGTGACTTCGCAATGTTGCAGTCAGGTAAATAATTGAAACCAATGTTGTTGTTTTTACACTTTTAGGTTTTTGCACTACCTAGGATGTTCAATTGATTTTGCTCGAATATAACCATGTACATGAGTAACACTGAAACCAAAACTTAACTGGGATAATTTTACAGTACCCAAAATATACTGGGATAAATGTACAAAAGAAAAACTTGGATAACTTTACCTAAATAGCACCAGGATTACTTTACCAAATAAGTTGATCTGTAACTGTATCAAGTTATACACAAATGAATGAAGAATTTCTAAAATAAAATTAATTCAAATCATGTCATTTTGCAGGAAATCTTGTAGCTAGTGTCTGGTTTGACAACAAGCCTGTGACCTTTTTGTCAACAAATGCTGACCCCACTACACTGGAGGAAGTACGACGAAAGAACAAGGATGGTACTGACAGAGTACACCTGGCCCCTTCTGTTGTGAAAAAATATGGGGAAAATATGAATGCTGTGGATCGAGCTGACCAATTACGGATGCAGTACACATGCGCAAGGAAGAGTTACAAGTGGTGGAAATATGTGTTCTTCTTCTTAGTTGATACTGCACTTGTCAATTCCTTCATCCTTATGAAGGAGTCTCCAAATCACCAGAGGAAAACCAGGACAGGCAGAGTAAAACACCTTTCCCAGCTGGAATTCCGTGAAATCCTGTGTAAGCAGTTGATTGGTGAGACCCGTGCAGTCAGGAAGCGACGTCGTGTGGTACAGCATGATGTGTCGGGGCTTACATATTCACACATGCCATGTAAAGTTAAAATTAACAGGTGTCGCCAATGTGCTAAGTCAAAAATCAGAAAAGAGTCAAGTTTCGGCTGTCGACAGTGTGGTGTAAATTTATGTGTACTTTGCTTTGAACCGTACCATAAGGACTTAGTCTCTGTAGTACAGGAAGAGTAAACCATTGCCACAGACAACACATATCAAAAGTATTTTGCAGTTAATTTGAATTAGATCTGACATAATTAACATTTGCACCATCAGTCAAATAACAAACTGTTGTGATGTAATTCTTTTGGATGTATACAAGTACAAATATATACTATTTATGGTACACACTCTTGTGTAATACATGTGCTTCATCTTGAAGTTTGCAGACTGTTGCCATAAAATCTGTCTACATTAAGTTAATTGAATATCTATTTTTTTTTTACTAATAGTTGGTGTTTGAAATTAAGCGATGGTTTTAAGTCAAAATTGTTAAATGTAAAAATAAAATGATAACACAGACATACTAACATAACAAGTTCTGACCCAATCCTGGAATCCATTTACATACCCGACTAAATTTTATCTAGTCTTTTGATCAAAGGAGCTTCCAGAATGTTTGCAATCAACCAGCATGAAGTACAGTTCTGCAAATATGTATTTCAGAATGTAAATGATTCTGTATCTTGAAATGCGTCTTGAATTCAAAATTTGTTACCATGTTTATTGTTTGTTGGTTATGAAACCATGACTTTACATTGTTTATTTATATTTGTCATGTTAATCAAAATTAACAGAAAATGGCATTACATGTAAATACAAAAAGTTTCTTGTTATCTAAGATGTCTTTGCTTTATTTATAAATAAATCCCAGTCTGGGCGTACACTTTTCCTGTCCTGTTACAGTAATATTACAATGAATATACAAGACTAAACTCAAAGTATCATTCAAAATTACACTGGTCAATTAATGCAAGAAAATATTTAATTGTTACCAAGTCTGGAAGTCAATGTAAAGAAATACTTCTGCATGTGGTAAGAATTAAATCCAGCATTAGTGCACGGGCGATTGGAGACAAAACCACAATTTTATTTATTAAAATATATTTCAATCTAAATCCATAAATCGTACTTGTCAATGTTTTCTTCTTTCAAGTTTGCAATAAAAACAAGTAATTATATACCACACACACAGTATTTCCAAACAGTATTTTTCACCAGACACTGACTGGCACACATAATGATGTGTACATATGTAATACTGATATCTGCTGTTAACATTAATTTTCACAGAACCTGATTTGACCACAGGGGTTCGTAGCAAATATCTGAAATACACATATGCTTAACTGATACGGCACTGATATGGGTCAAAGCACATATCAGTATAGCTGATGTGTATTTCAGACATTAATAACGAACCCCTGTGATTTGACTAAAACGACCAAACATACCAAGAAAGTTGCGTTATCAGTCAAAGTAATGACGACATTTTTCTAAACTTCCACTCGTAATTTCACCATGAAATACCCATGAAGACTTGTGCAAGTAATAATAGATATTTTATTACAAAACACGATTTAATCTACTTGTATTGAGAAAATTAAACGACTTTTGTAACCAAAACCAATCCCCATTTGGGCCCCACGATACAAAGTTGTATTTTGAAGACCATGAATCACATTGTTCATTGACGAACACACGCCGATTTCTCAGTCATTTTCGTCTGTCAGTAAATCATAACGATGCGAATGTAATAAATGTATTTATAATATAATATAAGGCTTCTGCAGTGCAATAAAGGGGTGCAATAAAATTGATATTGAACGTGTGCAATAAAGATGCAAATGAGCGCGCGACACCGTGGGAACTAGGTCGTATTCCTATGCACTACTACTACTACTACTACTACTATAGTATAGGCCTACTACAACATGGCTGACGTAAACATTGGGGATTCTGTTCGAATTGACGGCAAAGGTAGGGGCACAGTACAAGAACTTGTTCCAATGGGATTTGCAACATTTTATAGAGTTTTAATCGAGGGAAGTGATATTGAGGTTGACTTGCCAGGTGATCGGTTAGAGCCAATACCCCAGACTATGACTCAGTCGTCCTCGCTACCACAAAAGCAGACGACACCCAACCAAACTCAAAGGTTTGTTCCGGTCCAACAAACGGAAATTGGGTCATTCATTGAACAACAATCAAATAAGAACACTCTACTGAAAACGTGGAATGACATGAAAGTATTGAAAGCCTTTTTCGAAACTCCAGAAATCAACGAATCCCGAAGTATTCAAAACATACCCCCTCCCGAATTATCTCCGTTGCTTTCCCAATTTTTCATGAGTGTCCGAAAAGTGGACGGTTCTGAATATGAACCAAACAGTCTCAGATCTATGATGTCAAGCTTTGATCGCCAGCTACGCCGATTTAATTATGGTCATGCTATTATTACTAGTCCCCTGTTTGCCCAGGTTAGAGAAGTGTTGAAAAGTAAACAAAAACAGTTAAAACGCGATGGAAAAGGTAACCTTGACAACCGTAGTGATATATGCTATCAGCGACGAGGAGATCGACGTTTTGTGGAGAAAAGGTCAATTTGGAACTCAAAACCCTGACGATATTTTACAGACACTTTGGTTTTTTAATACAGTACATTTTGGTTTACGGGGATCAGCGGAGCATCGCGATATGTGCTGGGGGGACGTTACACTACAAAACCACACTGACGGACATGAATATCTAGAGTTTACGGAAAGACAAACAAAAACCAGGACAGGGGAGAACACCCGTGATGTAAGCAAAGTAAAACCAAAATTGTGGGCAAACACTGAAAATCCCGAAAGGTGTCCTGTTCATGTTTACAAATGCTATGCAGATATGAGACCTACGACTTACTGTAAAGGATCAGATCCATTTTATATAGCTACTACAACAAAAAGCTCACCTGGAAGTCATGAGACTTGGTTCAAGCGCCAACCCGTTGGTATCAACAAGCTAAAATCCATGATGCAACGTGCCATAAAGGGAGCAGGAATCCAAACTGACAAACACTTGTCAAATCACAGTGCGAGGAAATATCTTGTCCAGAAATTGAACGATAATAACATCCCCGCTAACCATATAATGCAAATTTCTGGTCACCGAAACATTTCTTCTATTAATAATTATTCACACATCAACACGAATCAACACAAAGAAATCTCCAAAATACTGCACGGAAATCCAACAGCACCTGAGACCGGATGCAACACAACATCACTGACACAACAATCAATGGCGTGTAACCAGTCAACTTCCTCTGTTGTCAGGGTCCAGGGCGGTTTCCAAAGTATCTTTTCAGGTGCTGTCACAGGAGGAAACATACAAGTTCATGTTTACCAAGGACCTCCTCTGAAAAAACGCGCCCGTGTTATAGAAAGTGACAGTGATTCTCAGTAGGCCTAATATCCAACACATGTGTTTTCGGTTTCCGACGACCTTCACAGTGCGCGCGCTCTTACACTGTTCATGACGTCACCGATGAAAAAAAACAGTTTTTTTCCGAAGCGAAAAAAAAGAAGTCATATTTTGTAAACTTTTATTATTTCAATTGTTATCACAATTAAAATGATCGTTAAAAGTAAAACTGTTGGCCATTTATTATTCTGATAAAATTCTGCGGACTACTTTTGTTAGCGGAACATGCTCTCAAATTAGTATATGTGATGCGTCCTTTCTCGTCGTCATTGCATATAGAGACGTTAGTATTGAAACCACTTATGTAGGTAGGTTTCTCGAATTATATAATAAATAGAATCTAACACTCGTGTTCATGTTATATTGAATTTATTGAACTCGTATATTAATTTCATATGAAACTCACCAAAGGCTCGTTTCATATGAAATTAATATACTCGTTCAATAAATTCAATATAACATGAACACTCGTGCTAGATCCTCTATGTATTATAAGAACGACACAAAATGATAACAACATTGGTTGACGTTTACCTGTGTATTTCTTGAAAATGTTACACCTCGACTAAAATCCACATTGACAATCCGCCATTTTGCTATATACGCGGGGGTGAGCCTAGTAACGACATCCGGTACGGAACCCGGACCGGAGTTACGGTACGGAAAAAATTAAGGAAACATAATAAATAATAAATTCTTTTTGCCCATGTGGGGCAAAAAGAACAAATACCTAGAGGATATCAATGGTGCTTTTTCAGATTTTGCCATATTAAGACTGGATATTGCTGACATAAGACAAGATATTGACATCATAAGACTGGATATTGACATCATAATACTGGATATTGCCATCAGAAGGCTGGATAGTGCCATCATAAGACTTTCAGATTTTGCCATATTAAGACTGGATATTGTCATCATATGACTAGATATTTCCATCATAAGACTGGATATTGCCATCATAAGACTACATATTGCCAACATAAGACTAGATATTGCCAACACAAGACTGGATATTGCCACCATAAGACTGGATATTGTCATCATATGACTAGATATTGCCATCATAAGACTGGATTATTGCCATCATAAGACTGGATATTGCCATCATTAGACTGGATTATTGCCATCATAAGACTGGATATTGCCAACATAAGACTAGATATTGCCATCATAAGATTACATATTGCCAACATAAGACTGGATATTGCCATTATAAGACTGAATATTGCCAACATAAGACTGGATATTGCCACCATAAGACTGGATATTGCCATCATAAGACTGAATATTGCCAACATAAGACTAAATATTGCCACCATAAGACTGGATATTGCCAACATAAGAATAAATATTGCCACCATAAGACTGGATATTGCCACCATAAGACTGGATATTGCAACCATAAGACGGGATATTGCCATCATAAGACTAGATATTGACAACATAAGACTAGATATTGCCATCATAAGAATACATATTGCCAACATAAGACTGGATATTGCCATCATAAGACTAGATATTGCCATCATAAGACTAGATATTGCCAACATAAGCCTGGATATTGCCATCATAAGACTGGATATTGGCATCATATGACTAGATATTGCCATCATAAGACTGGATATTGTTATCATAAGACTAGATATTGCCATTATAAGACTGGATATTGCCATCATAAGACTAGATATTGCCAACATAAGACTAGATATTGCCATCATAAGACT